TTGGTAAAGAAGTGGAAAACATATAATTTAGAAAAAGTTTTAGAAAAATACAAAGGGGTGGGGGTAATGGTAGCATTTGTGATATGGTAGAGGGTGGTATGGGGCGGTAGGGGGTGGTAGCAGTTGGATAGTGGTAGAGGGGGGTATGATGGTGGAAAAAGGTGGTAGTGTGGTGGAGCAGTTGTGATAGTGGTAAAGGGTGGTAGGGGTTTTTGATAGTGGAAGGGGGTTAGATGGTGGTGGGTTGTATGGGGGTTTGTGGGAGCCTTCTTAGTTTAACTAACTGCCCCCAATGTTTCTTAAAGTTATTAAGGAAAAAAAACCTGCCGCCTCAGCTGCACCTTCCCCACCATCTGGAGGGCTTATGCTCTCAGTGGCCCTTATACCCCCCAACAAAAAAAACGACACCTCCTGAACACATAATGACTTTTTTTTCATTTTAGAGTATATTCCAATTTCTATGTTATTAAATATTGTTTATTAGTCATATTAGTTAAATTTGTGATAGATAAACAAGCGTGAGTTGATATTATGTATATTCCCCCAACAAAAAAACAGCCTCCCCTCCCTCTGCCCCGTCTCCCATACACCAAAAAGAGTTTAAATAAAGGTAAGTGTGATGTTAAATGCCATTTATACTTTCATTGTGTTTACATTTTTTTGGGCATTCTTTTCTGCAAGTAAATCTATATTAAGTTATGGAAGTGGTAGGGAAGTGACCCCTGAAGTGACCTGTCTCCTTATAAGGGGATTCCCCCCCAAGCACTAACTTCCCCCCTCCTCCTCCTCCTGTCTTCCTTCCAACAACAGCCTCAATAAAGAAAATGTCAGTTGAATTTTTCTTCTTTTGTGTATGTAAATTTTTTTAAGGTAAAAAAAAATTTTTTTTTGAACTTCTGGATGTTGGAACAAATTAAATTTGGTTTTAATTTTTTTTTTATGGGGAAAAGGATTCGAAACGTCAACTCGTAATAGTCCACTCCTGGAAGGGTTAAAAAAAAAAACAAAAAACGAGGGTCCACTGAAATTTTAAAAATTGGTCATTTAATTTTTTTAAACCCATTTTTTAAATTTTATTTCCCCCCAAAAAAAAAAAAACTTACTATATACAGGGGGCCCCCTCAATTAAAAAAAATTTTTCCCAAGAGCTTGTCCTTAACCAATTTTTTTTTATCCAAAAAATTTTCCCTATAAGAAAAAAGAATATCTATTAACCCTTTCCGACACCTAAAAGAAATTCAAACAAAAATTTTTTTCACTTTAAATACATTTCCCTACACAGAAAACAAGAGACATGCTAAAAAAAACATTAACCCTTTGAGGGTTCGCCAGGCCCCTCAAGCTTGTTTCGGGTTGCCAAAATTTCAAAAAAAAAAAAATTTTTTTTTTTTCTAGAAAAGATAGAGAATCTTTTCCGATCATAATGCACCAAAGTATGAAATTTGTGAAAAATTTATGGAATTATGCTCTCGCAAGGGGCCGCATTTTTACGCACGGCGATTTTGCCTTTTTGACCCCTTTTTTCAGCCAATTTCCCATGTACTGTTGAAAAAAATATAACATTTCGCTAGAACTTCTTTTTTTTATATCGAATGAGTAAAAAAAAAAACCACCCTTTACCGATTTCAATACCCCAATAAGGTGGTCAAAATTTAGCATTTTGCCAATTTACAAAAAATTTCAAAAGACCCAAATTTCCAAATAGGGTCCAGAATAAACAAGAAAACATTCCTGGCCCCTAAAAAAACTTTCCCCTTTTTCATAGTCATGTCCCCATGCCCCCCTTCATTTTTTTTTGCTTTCCACTTTGATTTTTTTTTTCTCACAAAAAAAAAAAGATTTATGTTATGCGATACTGCATTTGTTAGAAATGTATAAATAATATCAGCGCACTTTTGAAAGAATATTAGACTCACAAGTTGACGTGTATTGGACGCTTAGCATGATTTGTTTACTTTTGAACTTTGGTAAAAAATCGAACTTTCTGTTTGTTTGGCTCAATTTCCAAAGGACTTTTCATTTTAAAACCAGTCAAAATCATTCAAATTTTTTTAATATGTCTTCCTTCTATACAAAGAGACCAAAAAAACTAGAATACAAAATAAATCCATACAAAATCAGTGCAAATCGTGTTTTTAAAAAAAAACACGATCAAATTTTTTTTTTCTCATTCGCACTGTGTGCGCAGGGGGAGGGTTTTTTTTTATCGCGCACACTGACCACATAGCCCATCTTTCATATGTGGGGCCCACCGCTTTCTTTGCTAGATTTGGGATGCTAGATTTATGCTACTAGAACGCAAAAACCCGGGCTCATACGCCGTACAGTACGGCGAAACCCGAAAAAGGTTAATAATTCAAAAATGCACTTACCGTATTGAAGACTTTTTTGATGAGTGATGGACGGAGGAGGGGAAAGGATAAAATGTATTATTGTTCGGAAGGGGAACCCTTCCATAAGGACTTTAGGAGCAAGTCCTTTTTTCCCGGTTACCCCCCTCTTTTTTTTTTAATGCCCCCAGGACCCGCTTTAAGGGCACTGGACCCCCGTCCACGAAAAATTTTGTCAGCGAGCTCTGTTTCTGGCAAACTTAAGTTTTTCTAAAAAAGGGACACAACAAAGTCACGAAAAAATCACCAGCCGGCTTGCAAAAGCTGTGTCAGGGTGATGTTCTCCTAAAGGCTTTCACCTTAGAAACATTGCACAAAAGTCCTTAATCGTTGAAGAGGGCAACTTCCCCAAACTCTCTTTCCCCCCCTGTGAAGCAATTTCCCCACTGTGGGCTGTTCTGTTTCAGATGAAGCTCTTGCAGCCATCATGGTTAGCTCTTTATCGTCACCCCCACCAAATCTTCCCCATCCCTTTCCACTAACCTCCCAACCCCGTGGTTTTTCCCCCAAAGCCAAAACAGGTTCCAAAACTGGTTAGGCTTTTCAGAGTTAACCCCAAAACCCCTTTAAAAAACCCCCTCTTGTACACATTCTGGACAATTTTCTCCAAAACAGGTTTTAAATCCTGGGAAATACTCCCCATAAACCAAAAGGGGTTTTGAAAACGAAAATACTGATGATCTTTCCCGAACACTCCTAGGGGCAATTTAGTGTCTGAGGTCCTTTAAAGTGCTTTTGAAACACTGCTTGGTGTAAAGCTTTTAATTTTAAAAGACCTGCTGGTCCATGGGCGGAGGGAGGAGTGGTGTTTGGGGGGAAAAATTTCCTATGATAAAACTAAAATTCCCCACAATTGCTCTTGAATTGGAGGATGAGCAGGGGCTTGTCTAATACCAGGGGACACGAGTTTCAATTTATTTTCCAGGAGGTTTTTTTTTCCCCTGGGGCAAAAAACCCATAGAACCAATGTGGAAAATGTCCCTAGTGCCCAAAATTATGTTTGCCCTCCCTATCACCAAATTAGGCTTTATGACCTGTTTTTCTTAAATACTCTTGGACTTTCAGAGTGATCACCAGTATAGGCTTCACTTGCAACCCCATAGCATTATTCAAACATGAGAGTTAGCCTGTCTTTATAGGGGTTGATCCTGGGAGGCCCTTTTCCTCCTGGGGTAAGTAAGGGCCCGTTTGGGATTTTTTCCAAAAAGGCCTGTTTCATCACAATGAAAATTGTTGGGGGTTTTAATTTTTTTAGCTTCTATGTACCCCTTAAAGTCCCGCAATACTTTTTGGGCCCCTTTTTTTTTCAGAACTGGCAGCCTCCCATGCCTTTCACACTGTGTATGCCACTACAATCTTAAAACTCTCAAAAAACCCTTTTCTGGCCCTTTAAATTCACAATTCAGCACTAGTTGGGGGCATTTTTTTTAATGAGATCCTATGCAATGCCTTGCCTTTTCAAATATAACTGACTGTGAAACACTATCTACTGATAATTGTTTCTCATTGATCCACACTAACAACAGTCTCTCCACATCTTCGAGTATTTGCGATCTCTGTTTTGTAAGTACATTTGCACCTTTCGCAACAACAGCTTCCTTGATTGCCTTTTTGTTGGCCAAGATAGTAGCGATGGTTGATTGGGGTTTGTTATACAGCCTGGCCAGCTCGGAGGCACGCACTCCACTTTCGCACTTTGCTATTATCTCTTTCTTCAATTCAATAGTATTTCTCACCCTTTTTACCAAAGGGTTAGCACTAGAAGCTTTCTTTGGGCCCATGGTGGCTTCTTTAGCAGTTACAAGCACTAAAAAAATGGAATAATACAAAATGTATCGCATGTACGTGTGGAATCATCCGCAGTGGCTTGTAAACAATGGCACACTAGCCACACTGGAGTGGCTGGGCAGCTCAGGCTGCGCGGACATGTTCTGGATGAATGCCCTTAACTGAGTTTTTTATCATTAACCGAGCCAATATTTTGACGCAAAAACGTATCAGTATCCAATTTTATCACTATCCGATGGCATCGTTAACTGAGGGTCCATTGTATTGTAATAAACATACAGCCCCTCCTCACTTAGTGATGCACTCGTTTACTGATGCCTCAGATTTACGACGGGCTCTCTGACCAGTATTTACACCTAAATAATGTATATTAGAGCTGATTTCCTCTATTCTGTTTATTTCAATATACAGTACACTACAGTATAAACATTTAAAAATATACCAGAAATGTTATAAATAGTGCAAAGGTGACATTAAAACAATATCAAAGATGGTTGACACAAACCCACTACTATTATAGTATGCTCCTTACCTAGCGACAAATTTGTTTAACAGCGTGGTCTTAGGAATGGAACTCCGTCGTTAAGTGAGGAGAGGCTGTATTAGAGGAAATCAGCTTTAATATACATTATTTAGGTATGCATAGTGGTCAGAGAAAACGAGCATGTCACTAAGTGAGGAGAGGATAGGGTAGTTCGGCTCTAAAATTTGAACCAATTCAGCATATTAGGCACGACATATAACACATATACAGTAGAAGAAATGTTAGGTATAAACAGTGCATAAGTTACAAGTATAAGAGACTGTGGAGTTGAGACTGACCTCTTCTCTGTTGCGGTTAAGATCTTCCTCCAGTGCTGCTATTCGCTCTAGTGATACTCGTAGTCTTTCTCGAACCTGAAAATAATAATTTTACACAGGCATTTAATAACTGTAGCCATGAAGGAAAAACTAATATTAACAAACAATTAAATAGTACCAGTGAAATATTTTTACAAAACACTGGCCAATTGGTGGGAGTTCAGGTTTTAAAGATTACATATTAAACTATGGATGTGAGGTCCCTCAGGCTTGGTAAGATGTGTGCCAAGGGTAAGCCGTTAAGAACTTGTCATGGCCCAAAGTCAAGGTTTTCCATATATAAAATTAAGAACAAAATTATACTGAGAACTTAAAAAGTTATTTTTTTAAAAAATAAAAACACAAAAGTAAAATAGTTGAAACTCAAAACTCACAAATATATAAATAAATAGGCCATAAGATACCATGGCAAATTAACTATTAACTCTCCTATATCAACATCTTAGACACAGCGGGTTTTTCATATCGGAGTTGGCCCACCACCATTTTTAATAATTAAACGAAATTTAAAATTTTAACCCTTGAACCAATGCCCACGGGTTTAAACAAGTGTTCCATATTTAAATATATGTTAAAACAAGCTAGTACCAGCCTATAATAACACAGCTGGTACAATGGGGTATTAACAAAAAGTGGTCCATCCTAGTATTAACACAAATTTTGTCCGCCAAATAAACAATCAAGCTGTAAAGATACCAATAAACCGCATGGAAACTGGATTTTGCCCAGGCCCGCTTTAAACCCACGGTCCAGGGTTGGGGCTCATCCAACTGTCGCAATTTTGAAGTTCAAATCCCCTACCAAAAATTCCAAGTTTTTAAAATTTTTTTAAAAATAATCAAAAAAAAATAAATAAAAAAAATAATAAAAAAAAATAAGCTTTAACAAAAACAATATTAAAAATTTTTTTTTACATCATCGCGTTTTTTAATGGGTGAAAAATTCCCAATTTTCTTATAAATTACACTTATTAATTTTAAATTAAATTAATGAGTGTTGTTGTAGAATTTGATGATAAATTTGATGCCTCTAAAATTAAGGGAGTACCGATAGGTACTTGCCCATAAAGGTGCATGGCCAGTAAAGACCATTTTGTAAAAATATATAAAGAAAAACCAAAAACGCAAACTGACTTCTGTTTGTAGTTTAAAAGCACTTTGTCCTGTTTTTAAAGTCTTCATCATTTCAATAACAGTCTAAATTTGTTGATGTTCTACATCACTTCCTTCAAATGCTTTTTTCAGTTGCCACGGAAGTGATGTAGAAACATCAATTAATTTACTACATTTTTCCCCCAGAAACACATAAGCCACATCAGAAAATCGTTGGTTGGGTGAAACTAAAAATTTGGGTCCTGCATTCTTTAATTCTCATGTCCCTTATCTATGGGGGTGGGCCCATATATCATGCAAAACATAATGATTAGTTTAGTTATGAAAATGGTAATATAAATACATTGTGCATTGTTTTTGGGACTCAGTATGATTTTGTTTAAGTAAATTGGAGATCAAGGAGGATGAATTAGTAAAATATTCATACCCCAAATCACAAACCTAATCTGGGTAAAAGTTCTGTATATGACTCCTTTCTGGTAACTTTTCAATTTTTAGATGTGCAGCCAGAGGAAAGGGGGCTACAAGGGCCATATCCCCCCAATTGACAAAAAAAAAAATTTAATAATAATTAAAAAATTAATAATAATTGATAATGAAAAATTTGTATTTGCATGATTACAGACAGTGATACATCCTCATTATGGCATCTCGTGAACGTGATGTTGGACGTTCTTATGCGAGTGGGTCCACAGAAAAGAAAGAAGAAAATTCAAGAAGAAGAACAGAAAAAGAAAGATGTAGGAAGCTGCAGAAAAAATCACAGACATGCTCACAAAAACAGTTTCTGATGTTACCAGTACATTTTGAATCTGCAGATACGTCAGATCATACGGGGAGGCCCTTCCTCCATTATTTCTCAGCCAGCATCTACTTCTTTTGTGTCTCCTCTCAATGTCTCAATGGACATTTCATCCACAGGATTTGTTTTAAAAAGATCCTGCCTCATGGCCAAATGTAATCCAGGATTCTCTACGTAATGCTTTCATTGCAGAAACTTCAGTCAAACACTGAACATTGACTTTGGGAAAATTTCAGCAAGGATCTATGATGATGGAAGTCGTCGTTGTTTTTAAATCATCTATGTTTTAAAGGAAGCCTTTTCAAATTCAGAAACTGTGAAAAGATAATGGATGGTATACTCTGAAAGCTCAGGAAAAATGTACTGTTCAGCATGCAAGCTATTTTCTACCAAAGAAAATACCTTCACACAGGGGTTCAATGACTGGAAAAATTCCAAGCGTTTCGAGGAACATGAAAACAGCACCACTCACAGGGGCTGCATTTAGCCAGTGTATTTCGTGCACAGAAAAAAAGGGCTTATTGGATTCTCATTTGGAAAATCAAACTGAAAAAAGAGCGCACTTATTGGAGAAAAGTTCTAGAAAGAGTTGTTGCTGTTGTAAAATTCTTAGCTCTAAGAGGACTTGCTTTCCGTGGAGAAAATGAGGTTTTGGTTCGGAAAACAATGGCAATTTCCTAAGGGATCATAGAACTGTTAGCACACTTCGATCCATTCTTAGCAAATCTGTGTCACGCCTTGGGAATGCAGGAAGAGGCACTGTATCTTACATGTCATCATTTATGCAATGAATTTATTGAACTGATGACTAAGAAGGTCCTCAAAACATCATAGCAGCTGTGAAAACTGCAAAATACTTTGCAATAAGTGTAGATTCAACACCAGAATTTCACATACAGATCAATTGACATTCGTTGTTCGTTTTGTCGACTCCAGTGGTAAGTCTGTAGAGCACTTTATAAAATTCATTCCTCTTTCAGGCCATGATGGAGAAACAATGATGAATGTAGTTTCTGGATACTCTGCTTGAAACATGATCTCTTTATTAAAGGATTGCCGTGGCCAGAGCCTACGACAATGCAAGTAACATGTCGGGTAAATATATGGGTTGCAAGCCATATCAAGCAAATCAACCCACTTGCTGAATATGTGCTCTGCTCAGCAACATTCTCTTAATCTTGTTGGGTTTATGTTCTGCGGAGTGTTGTGTCGCTGCAGTTTCATTTTTTGGACTTTTACAAGCACTCTTTAATTTTTTCTCTGCTTCAACGCATCGGGGGAGTATACTCAAGTCAACCATTCATGGAGATGTCATCAAATCATTATCAAAAAACAAGGTGGTCAGTGCAGCATGATGCAACACATGCTTTGAAAGACGCTTTGCTGAAATACATTCTTTCTTTGATCCAAATAGCAGAGGATGAAGAAACCCGACAGCAACTACAGAAGCGAAGCAGCCAGCTTAGCATCAAAATTGGAAGATTTTGAATTGGCCTTACTCTGTGTGCTTTGGGACTGAAAACTGGAACGGTTAAATGCCACGAACAAGACACTTCAGAAAACTGAAATTGAAATGGCTACTTGTGCTAACTCTATGCAGGCTTAGTGGAATTTGTAAGCTCACTTCACAATGATGAAGCTTTTGAAATTTTTTGAAGAGAAAGTTAAACTGCTGGTGAAGGGCTACAGTTCACCGGGCTGATCATCAGCGGTCAAGGAAGAGGAAACGCAATTTTGAAGAGCCAGCAATGAAATTGTGTTGCTACCAAAGGGAGAAATGTAAGACAGCTACAACTTCGTCATTCTGGATTCACTGATTACAGAATTGGTGAAAAGAAAAGAAATCTACCAGAATCTCAATGACAAGTTTGGATTTCTGTTCAAAATTACTACTATGCCAGATGCAGAATTGAGAGAAGCTGCATTAAAGTTGCAACAACACCTTTCAGCAGATGTTCAGGACACATTTGTTGAAGAAATAGTTCACTTTTCTGGGTATATGAATCAGATTAAGCTCCACCTGAAAATGTGCACCCTCAGCTGCTTTGAAACATTTAAGAAATGCAGGTATCTCAGAAACCTTCCCTAATGTTGACATAGTGTATCGCCTTTACCTAACACTTTCCCGCTACTAACTGTGAAGGAGAACGTTCATTTTCTGTTTTGAAAAGAGTAAAACCAGCTCCGTTCAACAATGAGCCAAGACAAATTGTGTAACCTAGCCTTGTTGACCATTGAGTCTGATTAAAAGAAATATTGATTTTTAGAATATAATTGATGATTTTGCCAATATGAAATCCATAAAAAAAGTTTATTTAAAGAAGTGCCTGTGAATAAAACAATTTTTACTTTCTTGAGTTTTATATGTTTGATAGTCTTATGCATGATGCAATGATAACAAAAAATGGTCAGTGATTTTAAAGGAATAATAGTGCTGTTTGTGGTTATGCTGAATAATAGGTACATGATGTCACTACTTAATAGCCTAATCTAGTAATACTATGCGTCTTGAGTTTATTCTCTTTAAATGCATGATTTAACAGATAGTTAAATGGCTGTTGTAAATGGTTTTGGTTGTCTTGATGTACTTTCCCTATTAAATTTAATCTAAAAAGCAGAATGTATTTAAATAGACCTTAAACAGGGTCACACCCCCCCCACCCCCAGCCCGGAAGGGGTCGCTTCGCTTTACCCGTAACTCAAAGGAGCCCTGCCAATTTTGAATAGCCTAGGGCCCGGAGACTTCTTATCCGGCCCTGCCTAGCATTGACACACCATCACAGAATTATTTACTGTCGACAGAGAAAGATGAAGTAAACAGTATCTCAAGGCTTAGGGACTAAATACCTATCAGAGCTGAGGGACTGATTTCTTCATTTTTCACTTTCTCTGGCATATAATCTTTGCAATGAAGGCAAAAATCCACAGGTACCAGCCTATTATTAACACACTAGCCTGGTACCAGCCTAGTATTAACAAAACCAGCCTGGTACCAGCCTAGTATTAACACAACCTGGTACCATCCTATTATTAACATGCCAGCTCCCCTTTCCCGGCAGCGGCAGCAGCGACTTCCAAGCTCCGTACTTTTCTCCAACAACCAGAGCTCCCAATGCTCCTAT